AATGCCAGGGTCTGGGCTGCGAGTTTGAACAGCTGAAATACTGTTTTATTGTAAAAGTATAAAGTTCGCAACACACACACACGCAGACACACACGGTTTCCTTTCTCCTTTTCATTTTATTTGTCGTGTTTCACACTTACCGAGAGGATGTACATCCTCAGACAAATATGAATGGACTACATAATTTGCAATATTACTATTTGCAAATTTGCAAAAGTCATTTTTTAAAATATATTTTATTTCACATTATTATATTTATTTCCAGAGCTGAGTATTTTTTACTTGAAAATATGAGACAGTTTAATTCGTTCTTGTTTTTAATTTCTGAATATTTTCTCTCAAGCATTGGTAATGAGGTTTGTAAAATATGTTTTTTATTAGGAACTATGTGATTTTGCTTTTAATTATTGAAAAATTAATTTTAGGGGCCAGCAGGTGGTGTGGTGGTTAAGGTTGCTGGACTCCTACATGGCCAACTACGATTCAAGTCCCAGATCTGGTGACCTGCCTTCTCACTTTCCCTCTCTCTCTCTCTCATGCTCTGTCCCTCTCTGATCAAATTAAAATAAATAAATTAAATTTTAAAAATAATTAAAAAAGAAATATAATTTTAAAATAGTCCCAGATAAGGTTTTAGGTATTATTGGATGGGAGAGCAGAGCTATGTTGTGTAAAATACTTGGTTCTTTGGAGATATGCCTTAAGATGTAGAATAAAAAACCACAAACATAAAGTAGGAAAAGAGAAATTTTAATAGAAAAGTAAAGATTTTTAATAGGTAAGAAATACACCCCATGCAGAAAGGCATGTGAGTAAGCAACTGCTAGAGGACCACTACTTCTGGGAATGAGGCTAGGTGTTACTTTTTTTGTTTTGGTTAGGTTTTCCCATGGGGGCGTGTGCTCTCTGGAGAGGAGACAGACATAGGGAAAGTGAGAAATCATCTCCACACACCCTGGGTGATGGTCATGCCACAGTCCCTTCTCCTACATTTTCCTCCTGGAGTTTTGTGCGCTCATGTTAATGTACCTTGTGTGATTTTCAAACTGCTAGATCCTGGACTCAAACCTCTGTTGGTCATGAGGGAGCCCAGCAGCTGCTGGTCCCTTGCTGTTACTTTAATCCTGGGGTCTTGTCATGGATATTTAGGAGGGAGAGTCTCTCATTATAAGGTCCCTTTGTTTGAATTCTTGGGTGTTTTTTTTTTCTTTTTTTTTTTGAGAGGTTTTTGCTATAGGGCGTGTGTACTCACCAGACAGACAGGTAGAAAACAAGAAATCACCCCCCTGGAGGGATGACCACACTGCAATCCCTTTTCCTCCATTGTCCTCTCAGGATCTTGGGCATGCATGCACACGTGCCCAGAGTTTTAAGCCACCAGGTCCGGGACACGAACCACGGTCAACTACATGGGAGTCCAGCGACATAGCCATTACTCTAACTGCTGATCCCTGAATTCTTGGGTTTTTGTCTGGGCTTTTGTACTTTTCCCTCACATAAGGAATCTGATTATGCAATTACACATGATCAATGTGGACTTTGAAGGTATGAGCATCTGCATAGGAATGATCTGCCCTACTAGTTTATTGTCCCATTGGGAATGAGGATGTTGACCAAATATACCCTTGAATTCTTGTGTATATATGGGAAATGACAAGAGGGACATAGCAACCTTCCCTGCCCTTTTTTTTTTTTTTAAAGAAAGCCTATATAATAAAGTAGAAAAATGAGACCAGCCAACACCCTGTCATGCACACAAGGCACCAATTCCCCCTGATCCCCAAAGAACTAGACTCCACCCCAGGGAATGTATCCCCACAGCTCCTGCTCATTGGAAGCACAGCTAAAACCCTGCATGCACACTTGAAGGTCTCCTGGCCTAGCCCTGCATCTCTCAAGCCCAGCACTACAGTAGCAACCCCATACTTTCACTTCCTCTGGCCTCAAGATCATTGCACCTGGGCAGTGCCTTAGAGCTTAGCACCCCACCCTGCCATCTATTTGGCAGAATTACTGAAAGGTTTTTTATTTTTCCTCTATGGGACTGGCACAAGTGTGTACCAAAGACAGAGAAAGTGGCCCCCTCAATGGGGCCTGGTTGCGATGCAATCCCCTTTTCTCTATCCCTTCTTCCTGTCAGGTTCGGGGCATATGAACACATGCTCTGAATGTTTTATTCAATCTACAAGAATCTAGGTTTGAGCTATAGTTGGCCATGTGGGATCCACCTTCCCCCACACAGTGTTTAACCATTGTGTTACAAAGCTGGCCCATTACTAAAAGATTTTGAGGGGCTTATGGCAGTCAGGACCCTGATCAGAGTCCCTTTTAGTGCCAAGTTATATTCTCTTCCAAAGCTGGAACACAAGTTCCCACTTTTGCCCGTGTTCTTATGTGGTTCATTTTTATATTTATAGCTAGAGAAGAGGAAGTGACATACAAACTAAGGAAGTGACATGTAAAACCAACCTGATTGGCCTAGAGCCCAGAGTTAACCACTTGCTACTGGCAGAGACTAGAAACAGAAACCGGTGCATCCACTCTTCTTACTTTCCAGTCTACAGTTAATGTCTTTCATTAAAAGCACAAGTAGGAAGCTCATTGGCTGAAGAGCTCGACAAGTGCAGTTCGCAGAGTCTCAGCACAACATCACAGATTGCAGTATGAAAGGAAGGCTTGGCGCCCAGAAAAGCTAATAAAGAAAACAGGGTCACATAGTTATTCCATAGGTGAGAGTTGTCATGCACAATAAGATGGATGAAACACAAGTGAACATTTTCCCAGCAAAGAAAGAACTAGGATGAGTCAGCAAAGAAGGTTGAGAATGAGTGAAGAGGAAGAAAAATAGCCAAAAGATAAAAGTTCTCACAGAGAAATAAAATGGGTGTTGGACTACCCTGTGGAATATTTCCAACAGGATGAATGAATTCATCAAGAAGATGAATTCTGGTTACAGATCATTGGAGTCGGCCCTGATATCTTTGTTAAGAGAACAGTGATGAAGATGTGACTAAGGAGGTCACTGATATCTGTATAAAGATCACTCCGGTGAAATGATGAAGCCAGAAAATATCTTTTTAGGTTAAGAAGCAAACAGGGTATAGAAATAATGGAGATGGAAAATGTACATTACATTTTAAGCTATTTGGTACTGACCGAAAAGAGAATGGGGAAAAAGGAGAAGGGAGAAAGCCTAAATACATTTAGTTCCTCAAAGGCAGTTAGTTTTATTTTAAGGCAGTGGGTAAGACATTTCTTGGAAAAGCATAGAAATCAAGAAAATCAATTAAAACAGGTACTTTCACATTCTCCGATACATTCTCCTCTGTCATAGTTTTCAGAATATGAAAATGAGCACTGTAAAAATTAGTAGCAGTGCCAGAACCTCTCTTGAAAGCACATTTTATTTCCTATTTTTAAGCATTTTACAAATCAGCTTGTTCCAGAAATTTTTATTTTGTTATCTTTTATTTAAATCTCTATAGAAAACAATCTTAATCAAATAGGTAAAGATAGTCTCTAGAGCAGAACTGAGGGCCTTTGTTTCTTCTATTCTGTGAGAGTGTGCTGTTAATCCGTGATGAGAATGCTTATGGAATAAACTTAGTTCTGCCTGAATGCTGGGATTCATAATGCTGGCAAATTAGGAGAAAGGCAGGTCTCAATTTGCTATTGCAATTGCCCTAAAAGGGCAAAAATCACAGGATAGCAAGGGGGATTTGGGAAAATGCTCCCTTAGCTTTTTAGTTTGTTTGAACTTCTTCCTCTATCCAGCTAGTCACCTGAACTGCTAAGAACCATCCTATCTTTAGGGTTGGCCCTTGTGTCCTGTCTTCACACAGCATACTATTTTGTGGACATGCTAAGGACACAAAACCAAAACTCCTTACGTCTGAATGTAAATGTAACTAAGTCAATAACTGCATAATTTTGAGCCTCAGCCACCTCATCTGTAGTGAGGGTGTTGAATTAGATGATTTATGGAGACCCTGTTGCTTGAATAAGACATAATTTGGTAAATTATCACTGCACATAATTGGAGTTCAGATGTTACTCAATTTACAACCAACTTGAATTTTGATGGCTATGGGTTCATTTCTTTGTGAAATTGGAAGTTCTGGATCAAACAGAAAATGGGAGACCTTCTACATAATTCTCACTTATAAAGAAGGGTCAAGAGTGTGATAATGGCACTGTTAAGGTGGCCAAAGTTTTGTCTAGCAGGTAATCTGTTTACTGTGAGGTTCAATCTCCTGTTAACATATAGGTTTTTTTTTTTTTTTTCAGTGCTCCCAATTTTATTTTTATTTAATGCTAAAAGTTAAAGAGAAAAGGTACTGTAAATCTGACAAATGACAGACTGCAGGTGGTTTCCATAGCATGACTTGAAAATGTAGTGTTGTTGATAATCTGAGCTACACCCCCTTCAGCTGGCTGACACAAGTTTCATCACAGATAGAAAAAGTATCACCTTCGACTTAAAAAAAAAGTAAAGGTTAAAAAGTGGCACACTTTTGGAAATACTTGGTGGCCAAGGAAAGGTACATAGTAAAAGCTGTAAACCATGTGTGCGTTCTGACTAAACGTGAGGCCACACGAAGGGACAGTACGTCTGTTAAATTCTATAAATTCTTAAAGCAAAAGAGAACATTTTGAAACCCCACCCCCTATTAGTTTTGAGTATAGGTTTCAAAATCTTGGTACAGAAGGTCCCACGTCATACATTTGTTTAAAGCTAGATCTATCATTCCCTAAGTTCCAGTTACCTAAGTCCTCAGTTCACTCAAGTCCCAGTTCAACTTCTAATCTGTCTATCTATTATTTCCTCACTCACTTTATCAATGAGTGAAATAATAGGCCCTGTGCCAGGTACTGGGGATGCAGAGGTGAATGTGGCGTAGTGCCTGCCTTGAAGAAGCTCACAGTCTAGGGTGGCTATTTCCCTGCAGCATCAGAAACGGCACCATTACAGCCTTAGGGAATCCAAAAGTTGGCGGTCAGAGAAGATCCTGAGAAGTTTTCCACATTGAGTTCATAGTCAGAATATCTTCACCTCTTTCATTCTTGTAGCTGGTGTGTAACTTTTATTTTTTCTTTCTTTTTTTTGCAGCAAAATGGTGTTAATTCAGCTCTACAGCCCCCAAGTCTTTCTTCAAAGGTAAGACATTCAGCTTCACAGCGACCTTCCATTTTACTACAAGACACTCTTCTCAGAAGTGCACTTCTGGCTAAGTAAGGAAAGTGATTAGTTTTCAGTTGCTAGTAATCAGTTATTGAAAGGCAAAATTACGTCACCCAGGTTAAATTCAGAATCCCCCATTCCAAATCTCCTAAAGACACCAGATGTAAATCTAGAAGTCAGAAGAAGTGTAGATATCACTTGAACAGCCATACCTGTGCTTATACTGCATGTGCAATGCCCTTATAGGTCAACAAAAGGGGTTTCCTTTGCTAAAATCGTATCTAGGTAATACAGAAACAGATGTCTCTTTCTGGGAAGGAGAGCAATATACTTTTTTAATGTCAAATAGTTCTTTCTAACCAATGAATTTTCATGTCTCCAAATTAATAGTCTCTGGTATATAGCAAAAATTAGACTGTACTATTTTCATTATAGGCAGATGAATGATAGATCATATGCATTGGCATATGGTTTTGAGTCTCACAGTTTTAGGTACTAAGATAAAAGACCCAAGGTACAAGTTGTCATTTTTGCTCTGCAAAGATTGCTAATGGAATAATGCATTTATCTCTGGCAAGCAAATTTAAAGTAGTATAGGAATGCGTGTTTGTTCAGAACAGAGACTAAGTTGAAGAGAGTAAAGCTGTTTTAAGAGAAGATTGATTTTGAAAAATATTTTTGCCAGGGAGTGCTTGCATTTGCTAGAGAGAGACAGAGAAGCAGAGAGAGAGAGAGAGAGAGAGAGAGAGAAGGAAAAAGCACCCCCCCTCATTGGGGCATGGTCAGACCAAATTCCTTCCCCTCCATGTCCCCATCCTGTCAGGATTTTGAGTATGCATGTAGATGCATCCAGCATGTTTTTTAAGCCTCTGGGGCTGGGATTTGAAGTATGTAGTTAACCACATGGGATCTGGTTCCCCTAACCATCAAGCCATGGTACCAGCCCAGTATTTCTTTTCCTTTTTTTAATTGGTGACATGTATTCTTAGGAGAAACAGTTATGAAAATATGCAATAAATGACAAGGGACCAGTAGATGGTGTAATGTTTATGTTGCTGGACTCCCATGTAGTCAACCATGGTTTGAGTCCTGGACCCCGTGACTTAAAACTCACAATGGGCGTGTGTGTGTGTGTGTGTGTGTGTGTGTGTGTCCAAGATCCTGAGAGGAGAATGGAGGAGAAGGGATTGTAGTGTGGCCATCCCCCCAGGAGATGATTTCTCATTTTCTGTCTTTCTATGTCTGTCTCTCTAGTGAGCACATGTGCCCTATAGCAAAATCTCTCTTAAAAAAAAGAATAAATGACAATAAGACAATAATAATAGTTAACTCTAAGATAGCACAAAGTATGTGCCTGGAATTGTCCAGACAGTTATGTTAAAAGATTGTTAAACCGTTTCCAAGTAGTCATTTTTTCCCCTTCAGACTTAATAATAGAATCTTTGGGTTTAGCTGGACACATGGATACTTACCTAAAGATGTCAGCTCATAGTTACTTCTATGTAATATATATTTTTTTGGGGGGGGAGAGGTTTTTTTTTTTTTTTTTGCTATAGGGCGTGTGCACTCCCCAGAAAGAGAGAGAGACATGAAGCGAGAAATCACCCCTCAGGGAGGATGGCCATGCCACAATCCATTCTCCTGCATTCTCCTCTCAGGATCTTGGGCATGCGCGCACACACACATGCCCGGCATGAGTTTAAGCCACTGGGTCCAGGATTTGAACCACAGTCGGCTACATGAGAGTTTAGCAACATAGCCATTACCCTAACTGCTGGTCCCTCTGTGTAATATTTTTGATCACGTCCTATTGCTACTTTTTAGCCCTATCTGTTAGATCATCCTTGGGATCAGATAAAATGGTCACATATTTAGGATGGCAGAATTGACCTTTGACCCTAATTCTAACATGACTTGGTAGTAAGGAGCCTTCTATTCAGGTAACTTACCTGTTTTTGTAGTTTTACACAAAAGAAAAATAAGCTTTTATTTTTTTATGTCAATCTTTTTTTAAGTTTCTCTATGATAACAAGTTAGTTTATGATAACAAGTTAGCTTCTGCTCTAAATAATGCAGCCAGTTTCTTAATCTTCAAAACAATCCTATTATCATGATTTATAGAGAGTGAATTGAAGCACCAAGTTCATACACTTTACTTCCTATGGCTTTTCTTTGTATTTTGCATCTTTTGTGGGATTTATGACAACTTTTTTGTATTAAAGTTATTTGTTCATCTTCCTGTCGCATCCACTCACTTATTTAAATACTTTAAATTTATTGAATGCCTGTTTATTATTACAAACAATCTATTTTTGATGAACACTTTAAGAAAATTAGGGCAAAGAACATACTTTAATTATAGTTTTAACTCTTTTCTTACCTATCTTTATTATAGCCCAGAACAATTGCTCAGAAGTAGAAAGCATACATTCAATGTTTATTGGTTTGCTAGGACTACTGAGACCAGAGTGTGTAATAAGCATAGAAATTCAGAGCAATGAAGGAGAAACAGGTTGCTTCATGACGTAGGGAGCAGTCCCATCAGGAAAGGCTTCATCACAGGAGAAATGAGGATAGTCAAGAGGGAATTGACATAAAAGTTTCTTAGTAATACAGTCTTGGTTATACTGAGCAGTGAGAAAGACCAAGTCAAATGACTCAAAGACTTAAGAACAAACTATTCAAGATATTAGTGGTTTCAACAATATAGCTTTTTTATTGGTATCTGATAGTTAGAAGGGAAGTCTGAAATAATCTAAGGATAGGAGATTTGGACCAACTACTGAGGAATGAAAAAAATAGAAACTGTTATCATAACTTTAGCTTAAGGAACAAACTAAATGGCTATAATCTCTAAATTAACACGTGTTTGGAGTTTGCTTCTGGTATTTTCTTTCATTTTAAAGCAATTATTTTGGTAGATGCTGAAGCTGGGTTGAAGATTACAAAAGGAGGAAAGAGATATAGAAGTAAAAAGTAGTCTCAACTCCTTAGTAGTGCTAATAGGGAAATTAACCAGATCATTTCCTGGTTAGAGATGGTCTGGATCAGTGTGGACCCATTGTTGTGTGTCTAAACTCAAGAACAAATTCCCAGTAACTGGTTTGGTCTGACACCTCTGTAGGGATGAATAAGAAATTTTTTAAAAAATTGAGCTTTCTTCTCAAAAATCAGATCCCCAAAAGTCATCCTTACTTCTCTAAGGATTTCCCTCTTACCTGGGAAAATTTGAGCAAGAAGAATGAGGGCAGCAAAAATTAGGAAAAAGATTTTCATGGTTCCAGGCATCAGTGGAGAGATGATGAAGAAGCTGCAGTAGCTGGAAGACAGCTCTTTTATCAAGGAAAGTTGATTACACCACGTTCCACTGCTCTAAAAGGACTGGAAGTCAACTTTGGTTTGTAATATTCACAAAGAATGTACTGCTGTCCATGCTTCATTGAATATTTTGTGGGCAGATGAATCAGATTTTACCTAAATCACATTTATGGGAGAGTCAGTCAGAGAGCACTGCCTTCCTGCCTGGAATATTTTATTCTGTGTCTGTGCCTAGACTTCTGCCACTTTTCCTTCAAGACCCATCTCAAATACCACCACTTCCATAAGATCTATAACAACTATTTATTCCTTTTATTCATGCCTAAGCTTTTACATAAAATTTACTTTTTTATAGGGTTCATTCAACAGTTATTAATTGGTATCTGACATAATAATTATCTTTTAGGAACTGCAACATTAAAAACAAAAACAAAAAAAACAACTTTAGTTTCTTGGTTCCAGCAGTTGGCATGCAGGTTAAGGTGTTGGATCTCACATGGCTGGCTACACAGTTCGAGTCCCATACCTGGTACCTAGAAAATCACAGTGGATGTGATTTTTCAGGAGACTGAAAGAGAAGGGATTATAGCATGGTCATCTCCCCAGGAATGATTTCTTACTTTCCTTCTTTCTCCTTTCTCTCCTTCTCTCTCTTGTGAGTGCATGCCCCCTTTAATGAAAAACTAAAAAAATCTCCAAACTTTAGCTTCCTAGTTAGACTGTAAACTTCATAGAAAAATACAGCTCCCCTCTCAAATTTTTTTGTCCTGCTTCCCAACTAAGCCTTTCCTCCCAAGATTCATGCCAGTGCTGGGCCCAGACCTCCAGGGTCAGAGTCACCGCTACATACCCGCTCCCTGGGCCCGAGGTACTAGAGAGTGCCTCCTCAGAGACATAGTCCTCATCTTGGCAGAGAAGCTGCCTCCTTTGTCTATGTATCCCCAACAGAGGCCATAGTATTCCAACAATTCGTGGTCCAGGACCCCAGCTTGATAGCACTCCGAGCATATAAATCCTGGAACATAGCACCATGCAGCTGCCTATATTCATATCAGACTCAACACTGAAGGACTCCCCTCAGTTAAGTCTCCCTACTGTGGGGAAAATGAGAACAGGAGATTCCCTAAAGTCCTTCCATTGAGAACCCTAAAAACCTATCTTGTCACCACTGCTACCAGAAACTCTTACCGCTTTGGCTACTGGGGCATTTGCTGATATTGATTATAGCTGAAGAAGCTGCACAGAAACTATACTGCCACAACCACCCAGAACCAGAGCCAACGCACTACACTCCATAGACACCCTAGAACTCATCTATGGGTGAAAGTCAGCCCCTACTAATGCTACTTTATGAAATTGGAAGACGTGACTGTTTTCCAGATGTACAGATAGCCATGCAGTGACATAAAAAACCTGAAAAAGTAAGGAAACAGACAGCACAGAGGAACACAACAATTATCCAGTGATAACTGATAAAGTAGGAATTACAGGTGCCATCTTATTGTTTTCTAAATGTTGTGTCTTTTCCTCCTGCTATTTTATTACCACTTTCTTTAGTGTTAAATAGATATTGTGTGATGTATCATTTTAATTTTCTTTTGCTATATGTTGAGTTATGTTATAAATGATTCCCTTGGGAATTAATATTGTAATTTATAATAATCCATGTTGGATTATTACCAATTTAATTTCAGTAGTAAACTTTACCCTAATATAGCTCCATTTCCTCTCTCTTCAATTATGTTGTTAAAAACAAGCTGAAGAGCTTTAAAATATGAGAGAAATTATGGAAATTGTTCAGATTGGCTCCTGACCACATGACCTTGGAAAACAGTCTCTTGTCCTTGATGAGATAAAACCCCAAGCAGCATTGTGACTTTAGTCTTGTGAAATTCTGGGCAGAGAACTCATCATCTGGGCCTGGACTTCTGACCTGAAAAAGCATGAGATAATTTGTGCTTTTAAATTGGGAACGTGAGTTTTAATGATATATAGTGTTTTCTCTTGTGCTTGAGACTTCAGCCAAAACTGATGAATCTTATTTTATAGGCATTGTTATTGCCTTTCAGATGTTGTAAGGGACCTTTGAAATCGAACCCAGAACCAAGAAGGAGGAATATGTACTTAGTTAGAATAGACTATAACTATGATCTTAAAAATTAATGGAATTAAATCCACGCTAAACAGGAAAGTTATGAAGACTAAGGTGGAGGTACTTCATGAGAATATCAGGTGCAGCAAAAATCAGATGTCTCTTCTTTCTAGTTATTTATCTCTAGGCTACTCCCATTTGGAAGACCTTCCTCTTCAGCAAATCCAGCAGAAACTTAGACTAGAACTCTCCCCAAGTTCCCACGGAATCATTGGAGACATTTGAAAGAGCTCAATTTTATTTTTAAAATATTTTTAAAATTTTATTTTGTATTTATTTTACATTTATTCACTGTATATCATTAAAGCATATAAAATTAATTTTCCCATCCGGAATACACTGTAGATTGGCTCAATCAAAGATATTGCCATACATAATATCTTCAATAAGTAATTTTCCATTTTGTGTTTCTTAACAGTTTACTTCTTTTTTTCTCCTTGATTCCCTCCCTCTAACCCTCTGCCACTTCCCACTCTCCTCCCACACTGTCTCTGGTATCCTCAGTTGCTCTCCATGCCTTTATGTTAACACAGAATAAGAGTGGGTCAAGACTTCCTTATTCTTTCTGAAGAATCAGGCATCTCAGGATTGAATGGAAAGGACCTAAAAAGGAACAGAGGAAGTACCAAGAGAAGAGAGGGGATAATTTGTGTTTCTAGGTGAGCATCTGTAAGCTATCTGACTCTGGATGCTATACCAGGTCATTAGTAAGGTAATATCTAGGCACAACCATTCTGTATGACTCTGAGACATGCATACAAGTCCTTCTATAAAAGAAACTCCAACTAGGAGCCAAAACATTTTTAATTTTTAAAAATCAAGCAGTGTGCATGTGGGGTCAGTGGGTGGCATAGCGGTTGAGGCACTGGACTCCCACGTGGTTGACTACAGTTTGAGTCCTAGACCTGGCAGCTTGAAACTTATGCCGGGTATATGTGCATGTGTTTCCAGAATCCTGAGAGGAGAAGGGAGGAGAGATGAGTCACTGCTCACAGGACTGATCATTTTGACCTTTATATTGTGAAGCTCCAATTTTTATTTCATAAGGCAAACGTTAAATAGTCAACTATGTACATTCTGTGCCAAACATTTAAAGTTAATTTCTTACCATTTTCTTTCACAATCAAGAAAGTAAATGCAAAGTCACAGGTATTAAGTGAATAGAAATAAACTTTTTTAAAAGTAGATTGTATGTGGTGTGATGGTTAAGGTGCTGGACTCCTGGACTTCCACATGGCTGACTACAGTTTGAGTTCTGGACCAGGTAGCTTGAAGAGCATGCTGAGCATGCATGTGTGCATACTCAAATCCTGAGAGGAGAATAGAGAGGGGATTGTGGTGTGGCCATCTCCCCCCCTTGGGGGAGGAGGTGATTTCTTGTTTTCCTTCTTTTTGCCTCTGTCTCTTGCTGGTGAGCGCAAACACCCTATGGCAAAAACCTAGAAAAAGAAAGTGCTAGAATCATTGAATGATAATCTATTGACATATTAAGAAATGATGTAAAGAGAATATCTTGTATTCTATAGAATTAGAACTCAACATAAATGGGGAACCAGCAGTTAGCGTAATGGCTATGTCGCTGGACTCCCACGTAGTTGACCGTGGTTCACGTCCTGGACCCGGTGGCTTAAAACTCACGCCGGGCGTGTGTGCATGTGTGCCCAAGATCCCGAGAGGAGAATGGAGGAGAAGGGATTGCGGCGTGACCATCCCCCTCGGGGGGTGATTTCTTGCTTTCTGTCTCTCTGTCTCTCTCTGTCTGGCGAGCACATGCGCCCTATAGCAAAAATCTCTCAACCCCCCCCAAAAACAAAAAAGAACTCAACATAAATGTAGATGTCACTTCTGTGAGAACATAGAACATAGATAGATGGAACATGAAATCCATGTGAACACTATTTACTAGTTACCAATGATGGCTCTGAGGAAATGATAGCCACCCTCGATCTCAGTTTTTTCCAAATATAAGTGGGAATAATAAAACCTTGTTAGGTGATCTTGAATCATATGAGAAAAGTAAGGAAAAGGGATTAATACACTATAAGGTACCCTACAAATGTTCAGTAGTATTTATCTGATTAAATGGCTAAAAAAAAGAAATGAGAATGATCCTGAAACTCACGCACTGTGTAACTTGGGTAAGCCATGTAACTTCGGATCTTCCTTGAACATCCAGTCCTGTTTCTAAGGCCCAAAGTGCTGATCTGGTTCATCAGAGCCTCTGTCGGCAACAGAAAAAGTTCAGCTTGCAATATCCATCAATCTTCTCATACTCCAAGCATGTCCTCCTGCACTTGCCTCTTCCGAGCCTGCATGGCTCACAAACGGCAAACTCGCCTGTGTTAGAAAAGAGCAGCTGACATGGCTTTCTGGATATTCGCTGGAAATGCTGGAAATGGGGAACATGTCAAATGCTACCAAAAAGGATCTTTATTTGATTATAAAGAGTATTTTCAAGAACCAGCCCAGATTTTCCAAAGAGCTTCTATAATTTACAGAATGGAATTGGGGAAGAGATAATTTTTAAGCAAGAGTGTTAAGTGTTCTGCTCTCCAAGTGTTTTTCTTTTCTTTTCGTCTTCTTGTTCATTCCCCATTGATTATAAAATCCCGGACTTACATGTTTCAAACATGATACAAAGAATTTCCTTTACGCTTCATAGAGCTTGATCATATGTTAATAGCAACTGGTTCAGACTGGGTCTGACTGGCTTGATCAGATTTTTTCTGGTTATGACCAGTTCAAACTGGTTAGAACTAGCTCAAACTGGTTTGGATAGGCTCAAACCAGATCAGGGCATTCCAAACTGGTTCATATTGGTCCTGACCGGTTCAAACCAATACTGACAGGCTCAAATCAGTTCAGGCAACTTCAGACCAGCTTAGATGGTTTCTGACTTGTTCATACTGGTTTGAGCTAGCTCAAATTAATTTTGATTAACTCAAATAGACTCAAACTGGTTTAGACTGCTTCCTACCAGCTCAAATCAGTTCCAGTTGGCTAAAACCCAGTTCTGTTTCCATCCAGTTCATACTGCTCTGCACAGGCCTGTCTCCAGTGATTCAGTCCTGGAATCAGAGGTGGCCCAGTACTTTATAGGCCATTGGTTAAAACTGGCTCAGACTCATTGAGACTGAAACTGACCATCTCAAGCAAGCGCAGACTAGTTCCAAATGGGCTCAAAACATTTCAGATCAGCTCGAACAGGTTCAACCAGGCTCTAACTGATTCATGCCAATTCAAATTTGCTCAAACAGATTCAAACTGGTGACAATTAATTCAAGCTGGTTCAAACTGGATGAGACCGGTCCTAGATGGGTCAGAGAGGTTCCATCTGGTTAAAATTGATTCCAAAGAATTCAAAGTGGTTTAGATGACTACCAAAAAGGTCCAACAGTTTCAGCCCAATTCTGAATAGATCAAAACAAATCATGGGACCAGCAATTAGCGTAATGGCTATGTCGCTGGACTCCCACATAGTTGACTGCAGTTTGTGTCCTGGACCCGGTGGCTTATAACTCACGCCGGGTGCGTGTGTGTGCGTGCCCAAGATCCCGAGAGGAGAATGGAGGAGAAGGGATTGCGGCGTGGCCATCCCCCCTGGGGGGTGATTTCTCGCTTTCTGTCTCTATGTCTCTCTCTGTCTGTCTGGCGAGCACTTGTGCCCTACAGCAAAAAAAAAAAAAAAAAAAAAAATCTGGCCAGTTCTGGTTGGTTGTGAAAGGGTCAAATTAATTCTGATGTGGAAATTCACATATGGATCACGTGACATTCACTTGGTAATAATGCAAATATGTTAGAATTGTGTGGGAACTAAGTAACAGCTATGTGTGAATTATGAGAGAATTAAGTGTGAATCACAAGGCAAACATGTCAACCAAATGGCTGTACATGTCCATGTCATTCACCTGTCCCTCACATGCCACCTGCCAGCATCTTGCATGTCACTTGCATGACATAAAGGGATAAGCATATAATACATGACAACATGCATGACACAACATGCCACATGTTAATGACACACAACTCACATGCTCATGTAGTTACAATGTTATTAACACTTAGCTCATATGACAACACATGTTGCTAATGCATTCACAGGACATGGCATGCTGCCATGTAATCCACACATTCATTACATGCTCCTACCATGTCATTGACATGTTTATAGCATGTTATTCACATATCACCCACATGGTCATACATTGGCACATTCCTGGTGGGTCACTTGGATGTTCATAAAATGTAATTTGCATATAACTAACCATGCCACTGCATGTCATTTTCATGTTAATCACACGTTCATTGCATGCCATTCACGGGTAACTATCATCTCAACACATGTCCATAATATGCCAATCACATGTCACAAAGCATGTCACTAGCATGTTGCTAGCAGATCAGAGTCCATCTGAGCTGGATAGAATAGGTCAAAGCTTGTCAGAACTGGTTTGAACCTGTCAGAACTGGTCTGAGTCAGTTGGAGCAAGTCTGAACTGATCTGAACCAGTCAGAACAGGTCAGAATTGGTCTGAACCAGTTGGAGCCAGTTTTAGCTTGTCAGGACAAGTGTGAGCAGATTTGAGCCAATTTGTGCAGATGAGAACCTGTCTGAACTGGTTACAACAGGTGTGAGTTGCCTTGAACTGGTAAAAACCAATCTGAGCTGGTCATAAAAGTTCAGAACAGGTTCGAGCTGGTCAGAACTGGCCAGAGCCAGTTCAAGCCAGTCCGAGTTGGTCAGAACCAGCCTGAGCCAGTCAAAACAGGTCAGAGCTGGTTTGAGCCTGTCTGAACTGGTCCAAGCTGGTTCAAACCTGTCAGAGCCGGTTTCAAACAATAAGAACAGGTCTGAAATGGTCTGAACAAGTTGGAACCAGTTTGAGTCTGTTGGAACAGGTATGGTTGGTTTGATCCAGTTTGAGCTGGTCAGAACCAGTCTGAGCTGGTCAGAACCAGTTTGAACTGGTCTGAGTCAGTTAGAACTGGTTCGGTTTGAACTGGATTGAATGAGTCAGAACCAATATCAGGTAGTTAGAACTGCCACTTTTGACATCAACCAGTTTGAACCTGCCAGAACCAATATAGACCCATTCAAACCAGCCAGAATTGGTCTGAACCTGTTTGAACCATTATGAACTGGTGCAAATAACTCAAAACTGGTCTGAACCAGTATGAACTGGTATTAACAGGTGCCACACCTCCAGGCACCTTGCCTCCTGGTACTACACCTATAGGTGCCATGTCTCCTAGTGCCACAACTCTGGGTGCCATGTCTCCTCATGCCAAGCTTCCAGTTACCATGCCATAGGTGTCATATCTCTCAGTGTCACATCTTCTGGCACCATGGCACCACCTGGCACATCGCTGGGTGTCATGTTACATTCTTCCTCATTTCCCAGTACCACATGTATAGGTGCATTGCTGGTGCCACACCTGGTATCATGCTTCCTGTACCATGTTTTCCAGAGTGTCTTTGGGTTCTACATTTATGGGTGCCTTTGCTCTGGGTGCCATATCTCCTATAGTTTCCACATCCTATTCTCCCTGTGCCACATCTCTTGGTGCCACACAACCACGTGCTACAGTTCCGGGTGCCACATTTCCAGGAGCCAAATCTTCCAACACCAAGTATCAAGGTGTTCATGTCTCTGGATGTCATGTTCCAGGTGCCACATATCCTGCTGCCACATGTTCTGGTAACACACCACCACCTGGTACAACCCCAGGTGCCATTATACCACTTGCCTTGTCTAGTACCATGTCTATCATTGTGGGATTTTGGTGCCATGCCTGCTGATGCTACACCTCCATGTGCCATGTCTTCTGTACCACATCTCCTTGTACTGTGTCTCCTGAGATTAAATTGGGTTTCACATCTCTACTTGCCATGCCTCCCAGTGCCATGTCTCTGGATTCCTGTCAAAAATGGACACATGTGTGTGTTTGACATTTGTGTGTCATTTGTATGTCAAAATGGACACGTAAGTAAAAATTGACATGTGTCACTTGTGTGTGAAAATGGACACACACATTACAATCCACTTGTATCACAAATGACGTGTGTTGCTTGCATGTCAAAATGGACAGGTGTCAAAACTACACACATGTCAAAAACTACTCATGTGTCAAAACTACACATGTCAAATCAGACCCGTGTCAAAATCGATGCATGCTGTCAAAAGGACATACATGTCAAAATCAACGTGTGTCATACACCACCTGCCATGTCTTTTGGTAACACATCTCTCAACAAATTGCTGTGTGCCATGTCTTCTTGTGCCCACATGTGCCATTTCTCCTGGCTGGAACTATTCTGAACTGGTTTGACCTAGTCAGAACCAGTTTGAACAAGTAAGAACTGGTTTGAACCAGCCATACTCAGTTCAAACCAGTGCAAACAGGCTGGTTCAAACTGGCTTAAACTGGCCTGGCCAGTTCTGATCAGTTCAAACCAGTTCTGACTGGCTCACCAGTACAAACCAGCTCAAACCAGTTGAAACTGGTTCTGACTGGCTTAAATTGGTTTTGACTAGCTCAGTCTGGTTCAAACCAGTTCTGCTTGGCTCAAACAGGTTCAAATCTGTTCAAACTGATTCAAAACAGCTCTGACCAGTTAAAACTGTTTCGACTGGCTCAAACAAGTTCTGACCACTTCCAGCTATCTGAGCTAGTCATGACTTAAAACCAGTTCTGTATGGTTCAAACTTGCTGAAACTGGTTCTGACTGGTTCAACTGGTTGAAACCTGTTCTGACTGGCCCAAACGGGTTCTGAGCAGTTCAAACTGGTTGAGGCCAGTTCTGCCAAGTTCAAACTGGTATTGACTGGTTCTGACAAGATAAAACTGGTTCAAACTGGTTCTGAGTGGTTCATACTGGTTGACACCAGTTCTGTTCAGTTTAAACCAATACTGACCAACTCAAAGCAGTTTTGACCTGTTTAAACTGGTTCAAACCAGCTCTGAAAAGTTTAGACTGGTTCTGATTAGTTGAAACTGGCTCAAACCGATTCTGACTGGTTCAAACCGGTTTTGACATGTTTAAACTGGTTCAAATTGGCTCTGATTGCTTAAAACGGGCTCTGACAGGTTCAAAATGGTTCTGACTAGTTCAAATAGGCTAAAACCGGTTATGACTGGTTTAAACCAGTTTTGATAGGTTTAAACTGGCTCAAACCGACCCTGACAGGTTCAAACTGGTTCTGACTAGTTGAAACAGGCTGATACCGGTACTGACTGTTTCAATATGCTTTTGACCAGTTTAAACTGGCTCAAACCGGCTCTGACAGGTTCAGACTTGTTCTGACTAGTTGAAATTGGCTGAAGCAGGTTCTGAC